GGGCGCCCCGGGGCGCCGGCTGCCGCCGCCGCTCGGGCGGAGCGAGCCATGCGCAGGCCGCTCTGCAGGGCTCCCGAGCGGGCGCGTCTCCGGCGGCGGCCTGGGGTGCGGTGGCCAGAGTTCCTTGGGGTTATTTTTTTGTTAGAGGCTTCTCTCCACTCTTACAGCAGAAAAAAATCTGAATGCATGAGGAAAGGTAGTGTTATCCCTGCGCTGAACCCTTTACACTGTAAACCTCTAACACTGTAACCTTAGCAGTGCTTTCCGTACCCTATGTTATCTCTTCTGGCATTTCCTCGTTTAAATAACTAATCCAACTGAATCAAAATCATGGCCAGTAACTCCAAGACAGTTGTCTGTGTTGGAGATCTTCCTCCCCAACCTTTTAAGACTTTGGAATGCTCGCCTCTTGAGTTATGCTCTAAAGGCATGCAGTGCTTCCAAAAGCAAAATGTGGTAAGTGAAGATGCCATGTTATTTTTGCAGTTATCATCAATAGCTAAAACAATTTTTGAAATCTGGAAAGAAGTCTAAAACCAACACTGTATGCTTTAATCATATTTTTGTCTGTCTGCAGTTTGATCTTGGAAATATTTGACTAAGAGGGCCTTTTCAGTTGTCTTTGGTAATAGACCTGAATAGGTAAATGATTCTGTTACAGTGTATTTTAGTTCACTGTCAAGACTAGATATATCAGTGTAGTTTAGTATTGGAATGCTATGTTGTACTAAAATTAGGAGGAGCTATTTGTGAACTGTTAAGTAATTCGTCATAAGACCTTAACCCCTGCCAAAGGCACTCCATTTGAATGAATGAAAATCCCTGCTTTTCCTCTGACCACCCTTCACTTAGGAAGGGTAGTCTCTGCTGTGAAATGTTAAAAGCAACATCTGTGACTTTAAAATCTCTATGATTAGTTCGATCAGATGTGATTCACAGACATGGTCTAAGTTATGCTAGCCAGTATTAGTGCTACTTGGAAATCTCCATCTGCCCTATAGGAAAGATTCTATCCAATCGGTTGTATTCTCCTCTGGAAGATGGAAGAAGCTGTTCAAGATGCAGGCAGAGTCTGAAGAGTCAATAACTGCATGCTGTTCAGGAGACGATTGAATTTTTTTTTTTTTTTAAGTGTTTTGGGAAATGGTGATTTTTGTCCGGCGGTGTTGATGGCTCTCCATTTAAAAAGAAAGTATCTGCGTCTGCAAAATGTTTTAGTTGCTCTTTTCCTGAAGTACTTTTGTACTTTTGTAAAAACAGAGTATTTTAATTCCAGAGAAAGTGATGTTTATTCTAGTAGATCTTCATAGTTTTGTTGTATTAAACTTTATTAGTTCCAGGTTTGTATTATCTGCTACTGTATCTTTAATGTCATGTCCTTTATGCTTTAAAAAGGAAGCAATACTAGAGTTTCTTTCTTTTTCTGTCCCCCTTCAATATGGATTAGTCATTAATAATAATTTGGCTTCATTTATTATTAATTTAAGCAATTGCTTCCTTTTGTTTCCAGATTTGTTTTAGTGAATATTGGAAGTGTGATTTGGATTGACATCTTGAAAATACTTTTCTTGTAAGGTGTTCAGATATCTCTTTTTGCAAAGAGGCTGTGGTATAGTCATTTTTATATTTCAACTCTGTCATCTCTTGTATCTACTGTAATAATCATTTTGAACTTGGCCTAAAAGTAGTGAAGTTTTTTTTTTTTTTTTTTCTGTAATCTCTTTCAGTGGGGAGACAAGATACAACAAAGACAAGATACTGCAAGGTTAGTATCAGTCATGCTACTAGCATGTTAGAGTAAAATGATTCTTCCCTGCAAAATGAGAACTCCCATAATGAACATTTGACATATATTAAGTATATTTACTGATTATAATATACCTTAAGAGGCATTATTTGTAAGCTTAGCTTGATAACTGTAATGATAAACCAATTTTCTTGAAATGAGTAGAAATAACTGTATACTTATGACAATGTCAAGAGTATTAGAATACTTCCTTTTTTTCCAAACGGGGGAGGGAGGGAAAAGCTGTCTGCAAACAAGTAAAACTGTGGCAGCGCCTGTTAAGGATACTGGAATAACAGACATCACTGTGTTAAGTCTTAGTGGTTTGCATCAAGCCCAAAAGGGCTTCTGGGATTCAGATGAGAAGTGGGAATGGTGCAGCTGTAGTAAAAATCAAGCTAGGTACATGTGCAGTGACTTGAGGTGGTAGGGAGCAGCAGGGGACTGATTGGTTGCTGATGTTGTAAAGGAGGTTGTCTCTCTGGAAAAGATAATCTCTCCCTTGCAGAAAACTAGGAGCGAAGTATAAAAAGTGGAGATTGTTTAAATGCTTGATTTAATCCCAGCTCATTCCATGAAAATGGTCTTTAAAACAGTTTTAAAATGGCCTTTTATGTAGTGATTGCTGAGTTGGTACACCTAGAATTAAAATATCTAAGTTGTTTGGTGTCTGCTGTAGGAAGACTGGGGAACCTAATGAGACTGCACTGTAAATCATATGTATTGCTACGACCTGTGAGAAAGTTATGCTTCTAGATTTTCCTGCCTCTGTTCTGACATTTCAGCTTATTGGTCTTGCAATGTGACCTTTGTGTTCATAACAGAGAGTAAAGCTTCATGCGCTTAAAAGTACTGTTAGTATTTGTAGTTGCTACTTTTCTGCATCAGATAATACGTAGGCTTCTTACTTACTAAATGCTGGACTTCTGTTGTCATATCTCATGCTACTGTAAGATTACAATTCTGTATTTTTCTTGCTGAAATTTGGATATAATAGGAAATATGAATTCTCTTCTTTGGCTTCCTCATGATGTAAAATATACCATAAGTGTGGACAAAGCAGTGTGTTAATTTTGTCAGTCTGCTATGATTCTAAATTCTCTTAAATCCTCTGAGGGGCAGGAGCAAACCTTTATACCATTAAAGTTGGATTGCCAGAATGATGCTTCTCTCAGTATTAGCTTAGAGCTTTGTGATGAGTTAATTCCTGTCTGCTCTGCCTGAAGACTGTATTTTGAAGGGTTGCTTTTCAACTAGATATGCTATAGATACAATACAATACCCACGCAATTGTATATCAAGTAAGAAGTAGAGAAAGATACTGTAACAGACTCTTTATATCAACTGTAAAATTGTTATGAAACAGTATTCCTTTGTGACAAAGTATTCAGTAATAACAGTATTTCCTGTGACAAAGGGAGACTTCTTTTTGCCTCAGGCCTTTAAGACATTGTCAGTATTAGGCAGTGGGGAGGAACAGGCATTTCAAATGTCTTAGATCTTGACTGTCCTGCTGTGTATGTTTCTTCCTGTGTCCATTTTAGTATAAGCAACATGTCAATTGTATTTTCTGTTTAATAGTAGGAAAGCTTCTTTGTATATGGATTTTTTTCTCCTCCTCATGAAACTGTGAGACTCCTTTAGCAGGCAGTGTACCAGAGACTACTCTAAAAAGGTCAAATGGCTTAAAATGATTACTTGCATGTAGAAAATAGTCCTCTGTATTATGATTAAATTTCTGATATGCATATGATAAACTAAATCTTCCTAATTTTCTATCTTGCATGTCTTTTTTTTTTTCTTCACTCTATTTGTGTGATTAAAATCAGTGAAGGCCAGAGGAACGGTCATTTTCACTATAACTTGTGTATGCTGGAAAAGGATTTTTTTTTTATTGCTGAGCAGATTTTTCTATTGTTATCATGCTTGCTCAACTGGCAAATTATTTAAAAGTTGGATATCTTCATGTTGAAGAATTTCTCTTTGCAGGTCAAGGAGTGGATGAGCCCCTTTCTGATACTGGTTTCAGACAGGCAGATGCTGCTGGTGTATTTCTCAGTAATATGAAATTTACCCATGTATTTTCAAGTGACCTCCTTCGAGCAAAGCAGGCAAGTGCTCCTTGTGGTGGCTGGATATAAATATTAGATTGTTTTGCATTTATTTACTATTGATGCAAATATCATGGTGAAGGAGGGCCAAAAGCAATTTTGATGGATTTAAAACTGAAGTTGGACTTGGGTAAAATTCAAAATGATCTCTGCAAGTAAGGAAATTTTAAAGCAAAGGAAGGCTGCCTTGCTAATTGCTGTAATGTTCTAAGATGGTATAGCTATCCAATGGGAAAACAGTTCGTAACTATATAATATTCACTTTCTAGACTGCTGCCACAATTATAGGAAAAAATAAGTTTTGCAAAGACTTGGAAATCAAGTATGATGCAAGACTTCGAGAGAGAGTAAGTGCTATAAAAATTTGTTTTTACTAATGATCAACTTGAGAGTATAAGTTACTGATGATAGATTCATGAGTCAGTAAGAATCTGGTGTAGTAGTGAGGAGCACAGCTTGGATATGTTTTTAGTTGTTTAAACCAAACTCTTTACATAAGGTAATAATTTTTTTTTGCCTAAGTATGGAATGTTGAAGCAAAGATAATATTTAGTAATCTTAAGGATATATGCAAGACAAGGTTTATGTGTAAAGCTAAGTCTTAAATGTAATAAAAAGATAATGTTTCTAAACATGTAAAATAGAAAGGATGTTCTTTCTACCTGTCATTGCCTTAATGGCACAAATTGATCTTGACTTATTAGCATTTCATACCTTTTTTTAGCACAAAGACTAATAGAAAATTTTCTAGTAATGGTAGACAATCTACTTTCCCTGCTTTCCTGAATAAAGTTTTTTTTTTTTGCATAATAAAAAGCATATTTGTATCTCCTGTTTTTAACTGTCTTGACCAGAATAAGCTCAATGTGGCTGCTTCTACTAATATCATTCACCCTTCAAATACTACACTGATAGTTTGTAGCATTTCTTATTTAATATTCATCTAAACCAGAAGTTAGAAATATGGACCATATTGGATTTTTATAAAAATTAACCTCTACTCCGCTGCATTTTCTCCTTCATGGTGTTCATATTAACATATTAACATGTATATGTTAATCACATCCCCTCTCAGTCTTCTCTCCAAGCTAAACAGGCCCTACTCATTCAGTCTCTCCTCATACAAAAATATTCCAGTCCCTTAATCATCTTGCTTGTCCTCTGCTGGACCCTCTCGAGAAGCTCCACGTCCCTCTTATACTGGGGAGCCCAGAACTTCACTCAGTATTCTAGGTGCGGCCTCACCAGAGCTGAGGAAAGGGGCAGAATCACCTCACTCAACCTGCTGGCAACATTCCTCCTGATGCAGGCCAGGATCCCATGGGCCTTCTTGGCCACAAGGGCACGCTGCTGACTCATGGTTAAGTTGGTGTCCACCAGGACTCCCGGGTTGTGTGGAGCTCTGTGGAGCTGCTTTCCAGCAGGTCAACCCCTATTCTATACTGGTGCCTGGGGTTATTTCTCCCCAGGTGCAGGACCCTGCACTTGTCCTTACTGAAACTCATGAGGTTCCTTTCTGCCTAACTCTCCAGCCTGTCCAGATCCCTCTGAATGGCAGCACAGCCCTCCGGAGTGTTGGCCACTCTACTCAGCTTGGTGTCATCTGCAAACTTGCTCAGGGTGCACTCAGTGCCCTCGTCCAGGTCATTGATGAACAAGTTGAACAGCACTGGGGCCAGTACTGACCCCTGGGGGGCACCACTGGCCACAGGCCTCCAATTGGACTTGGCCCCATTTATCACCACCCTCTGAGCTCTGCCATCCAGCCAGTTCTCGATCCACCTCACTCTGCACTCATCCAGACCACACTGCCGGAGCTTTCCTATGAGGATGTTATGGGAGACGGTGTCAAAAGCCTTGCTGACGTCAATGTAGACAACATCCACAGCTCTCTCCTTGTTCAACTGGCCAGTCATCCCATCATAGAAGGTTATTAGGTTCGTCAGACATGATTTCCCCTTGGTGAATCCATGCTGACCACTCCTGATCACCTCCTTCTCCTTCATATGCCTAGAGATGCTCTCTAGGATGAGCTGCTCCATCACCTTACCAGGGAGGGAGGTGAGGCTGACTGGCCTGTAGTTGCCCGGCTCCTCCCTCTTGCCCTTTTTGAAGACTGCAGTGATGTTGGCTCTCTTCCAGTCCTCCGCCACCTCCCCTGCTCTCCAGGACCTCTTGAAGATGATGGAGAGCGGCTGAGCAAAAACCTCGGCCAGTTCCTTGAGCATTCTTGGGTGCATCCATTGGGGCCCGTAAGATTTGTGGGTTATCAGTTTGCCTAAGCGATCCCTAACCCAATCCTCCTCAACAAGTGGAAGGTCTTCCTCTCGCCTGTTTATCTCTCTTTTACTTGAGCTCTGCAGTTCATGGCAGGTGGCCTTAGCAGTAAAGACAGAGGTGAAGAAGGCATCTAGTAACTCTGCCTTCTCGGCATCCTCTGTCACCAAGGCTGCCTCCCCATTCAGCAGCGCACTGACATTTTCCATAGTCTTCCTCTTGCTGCTGACATATTTATAGAAGCCCTTCCTGTTGTCCCTGACGTCCCTTGCCAGCTCTTATTCCAGACAGGCCTTGGCCTTCCTCGTTGCGCACCTGCATTCTCTGATGATGGGCCTATATTCTTCCCATGTGGTCCTGGCCTTCTTCCACATGCTGTACGCTCTTTTTTTTTTCTCATTAAATTTGCCTAGCAGTTCCTTGCCCATCCACACAGGTCTCCTGCCCCGCTTACTTGACTTCTTTCTTGTGGGAATGCGCTGATCCTGAGCTTGCAGGTAGTGGTGCTTGAATATTAGCCAGCTCTCCTGGACCCCCTTTCCTTCTAGGACCCTAGCCCAGGGGACTGCTCCAAGGAGCTCCCTGAAGAGGTCAAATTTGGCTCCCTTGAAGTCCAGGGTTTCTATCCTACATCTCACCCAGCTTCCTCAACGCAGGATTGTGAATTCCAACATCTCGTGGTCACTGCAGCCAGGACTGCCCCCAACCCTCACATTTCCCACTAGATCATCTCTGTTTGTTAGTAACAGGTCTAGCAGCACCCCTCCCCTTGTTGGCTTATCAACCATTAAGAAGTTATCTGCAATGTTCTGCAGGAACCTCCTGGACTGTCTGTTCCTGGCTGCATGGTTTTCCCAGCAGATATCAGGGTGGTTGAAGTCCCTCAGGAGGACCGGAGCCTGTGATCGGGACCAACAGAGGTTTCCAGTGAATCGTAAGTTAATATGGAAGAGAGTTTTAAAACCCCTCCAAAGGACTAGTCATCTTTGCATTTAATTTAAGAATGCAGATGTCCCTATAACTTGGCAAGGTAAAGCCAACTCCTCACCACAGAGTGGACAGAAATAGGTAACAGCTGTAGCAGGACTAAGAGACGGACAAATCACTACCATCACTAAATATCTGTTAGGTTATCACGGTGTGTGACTGTTTTATCCTCTGTAGTTTACATTTCTTACATGCAGGAAAACTGTCACATATAAAGCAGGAATGGGAAGCACACAGGTACTTTATTTTAGTTTGCAGAGTCTAGACGTAACAGGAGTGAAACCACTCTGTGTTCATAGTGATATGTCAGTGAATACTTTCAGCATTCTTGGGTGCATCCATTGGGTTGTGGGTTATCAGTTTGCCTAAGCGATCCCTAATCCAATCCTCCTCAACACGTGGAAGGTCTTCCTCTTGCCCTTTTATCTCTCTTTTACTTGAGCTCTGCAGTTCATGGCAGGTGGCCTTAGCAGTAAAGACAGAGGTAAAGAAGGCATTTATTCACCAAGGCCTTCCCTTCCAAGGCCAAGACTATGAGTCTAAAATGGTGATAATTATGAAAAGAAGAGGAAAAGGAATAACAGAACATTGCTAGAGTATAGTCCAGCGTAGAACTCTGGCTAACTATATTTGATACTTAGAGTGCATTTATATGGGGAAGAAGGAGAATGAGCTAGTTTTTAGGTGGGGTTTGATAAAGTGATGAAAGACAGAATGTAATGGGGATGCCTGAAAACTCAGGATAAAATGTCACTGTCCTGGGGCTCTCTCCAGATTTGTTGTTCCATTAAGTTTCATTTCTGTAAATGTGATGGGTAATAGTCATGTCACTTGCTGCCCATCTGGAAAGTGCTTGTTATGGCTATGTGACATCACAACTAATGTAACCTACAGCGAAGAACATTTCATCTCATACAATGCAGGCCTACAGAATATTCTACTGCACAAGGTTTTACACATAAAATATATTATAAAATACATAGCCTAGGCTTTGACCACTAGCCTAATTCAGGATACTGGTTTTTTTTTTTTTTTTTTTTTTTTTTTTTTTTTTTTTTTTTTTTTTTTGGGTCATATTCACCTTGCTAATCCAAATACTGACCAAACATTACTTCAGCTGTCTCCCTACATCCCAGCTGGCTATATTGTTCACTTTCCACTTTCTACATAAACTGTGGTTTAGTCTTGCTATATTGTATCTGACATTTACTCTGTCTTAGATGAAGGGGAAGTAGAAGTATATGCATGACTCTTCCTATGAAATGGACATTGTGCTTGGGATTCTTCTTTAGGGAATCTTATTTGTAAGATTAATTGTGAAAAGAGAAAATTATTGTGCAGCTATGTTGATGTTTGCTGAACATCCTAAGGAAAAAGGCACAAGGCATAAGAAAAATAGCTCTGAAAGGCATGAATGCAGCCTTGCTAGACTGAAAACAGACTACAGGATCAGGTTACAGTAGACTGTTTGAATAGAAAGGAGAAACAAATGCTTGAAGTTTCTGAATTGTTTATTCTTTCTTATTCCCCGATATTTTACTGCCATCTACTGGCCACAATTAAATATAATCATCACTGATCTTGAAAATGTGTATTTTATTCTACTTATTTAAGAACTACAAGTTTTGATAAAACTCTTATTTCTGCTGGGATTAAAAGATGTGCCATCCTTTCCATTTTAAATCATTTTACTCTACTGATGGCTTTCCTGAAAGATACATCATAATCACTTACTGACAGTAAAAAATGGCTTTTTGATAACTAGAAGTTTGTGTGAACATATACTTTTTACAAAACACATTTTTTTTGTCAAAACCCCTTTCCATTCAGTTTTCCAACATCTCTAAGTTCCTTGCACAAATTCCAGATAGTCTTGTTAAGTGCTGAGCTCCCTTTCATTCATCATACTATCAAGTCTCTTGCCTCCCTTTTGATGGCCTCAACACAAGCCACCAAGCTCTCAACACAGAGATCCAGTTGGAAACAGTAAAGAACTGATGGCTTACTTGGAAGTCCACATCCAGGGACCAGATCAGGAAGAATAATTTAGATGGCTTTAGGCAATGAAAAAGGATAAGGAAACAGACAAAACACTATCTCTTCTTTTTTAGAGCTCACTGATGCAGCAGAAAAAAAATGTGAGAGAGTAGAGAATAACTGGGACAGTAGAAAAAATAAATCTAACAAAAATACAGCTTGAGAGAGAATGGAAGATAAAGGAACTGTATGCATCTTTCTAAACCTGAAGGGTCTTCTAGTAGAAGATTCTTGTATGACTTCAGTAATTACTTACTTTGAAGTAATGAAGAAAAGGGATAGTTGTGTAGCCCCCAGAACCTATACTGTTGCACGGAGTTATTCCTCCACAGGTGTAAGATTCTCCACCTGTCTTTTTTGCTCTTCATGAGATTGCTCTCTGCTCTTATCTTCAGCCTGTTTAGGTCTCTTTGAATGGCAGTGAAACACTCTGGTGTGTCAGCCACTCTTCACAGTTTTGTAAATTTGCTTTCTGCCCTATCAGCCAGACCACTGAT